ACTTGAAGTTGTTCCCCGGTGGCGTTCATCTCCGTGCTACGTCCGGCATTGCTGGAAGAAGCCATGGGTGTTGGGGTTTCTTGGAAAAAAGGGGGTTATGAGAGTTTTAGAGGAAGGCTTTTAGAGGCGTTTCCCACAGATGACGCCAATTGATGGAGAGCAATCCGGTCGGTCCTAGCCGTCAACGATCTTGCCTCTGGTTGGAGCAGAAGGTGCCTGAAACCGGGAAGAAAGCAAGTATCTCCGGGGAGGGACCCGGTGAGAGTGCTCCGAAGCTCAAGTTAGTATCTTCTCAAAGGCAAGATAATAAACCAGATGGCGCAAAGTTATCACATACCTCCTTCTTGGGGGGAAGAGAGCCTTTTATAACCACTTCGCGCACTCACTCCCAAGCTTCTGTCAGGTCGGGTATCATTACCTCTGCACTTCTGCCAGTTCGGGTGTCATCACCTCTGCTGGGGCAGACAACCGCCACTGCCCTCTTTGTCGGAGCCATCTCTGTGACTGGAGGTGACGGTGGTAGGTGGCCGTTGAAGTGTGGTTGTCAAGTGTCAGATCCTATGTCTGTCAGGTGCGTCGCCTCAGGATACGAACTCCTTTGGTGTCAGGTACAGTTGTTCAGTTCGGCGGCCCAGAGCCGAAGTGCTGGAGTGGTGTGCGAGTGAAGTTTTGAGTTCGGGTAGAGGTGTGGTCCGAACTGCCCTAGGGCGGGCCAGTTTGGGTTGTTGCCCTTTGCGCTCCTCGTAAGGCTCGGGGTCAAAGTGAGAGTTCGGGCTCCTTTTGGGGAGCTCGGACCGCTGGTTCCTTCTCTCGGAGCTTGCGCCTTGAATGCACTGCCGTGCAGAGCTGTTGCTTCTGCCACGTATTGGGTGGTCAAGAGGTCGGGCCAAATCTTCCTTCATCAGTTCGAACTATCCTTCAAACCCTAAATGTTCAATGTTTGAACCCAAATCCATTCAACAAACAAACAACTACAAAAGCTTGCAACCATAGATCAAATAATCGATCCCCACTGTTCCAACTATCCTTCAAAGTTCAAACCCTAAATATTCAACACCCTAACCCCAATACTCAAGCAACAAATATTTTACCAGAAAAAACAACCGTATAACATAAAAATCAAACTCAATCGCTCAAATCCTAGAAATTACAATGAAAATTTAAAGAGGTGGTCAAATGTGGGTTGTTCCTTGACTGCCAAAACCACTTCTGATTTGTCACCGAGGCGCAATCGTTCTTCAATGGTTCCTCTACAAGCTGAAAGTGGTAAGAAAACAAGAAAAAATAGAAACGAACAATGAAGGAAGAAGAAGAAAGAAGACGTAAAGGTGAATGGAGGAAGAGAAGCGACATACCTGACCAGACAAAGAAGAAGAGGAGTGGCATCAGTTTTGAGGCCCCAAATGTTTGAGAAAATGGGAAACCATCGAATTGGCACTGTTCATTTTGGACAGCGTGTCAACAATGACAGACGTATTAGCAAGCTCTCAACGCATCTAAAAGCGGGAAGCTTCATTTCATGCTTCTTCAAATTAGACGGAAATTGAGCTTTTCGCATCTTTTTTGGATCCGCGTTTCTGACCAAAAATCTTTTTTCAATCAAATGGAGAAAGACGCAAAACCAAGCTTCTAGGCTTCTAAAAAGCTATCAGCTCACGCCATAAGACTTGCCAAACGCGGTTTATGATTTTTTGTTTGATTTGGTTTTACGATTTTAGAAATATTGATTTTGATTTGGTTTGAAAAAAAAAAATATCAATCGAACCAAACCAAAAACCGAATTAACCAAAATGCATACATATATTTATATTTTAATTATAAACATTGATATATATATATATATATGACATAGTGAAACAAAGATCCCTTAATCATTAAGTGAGATGAGAGAATGCATTCAATTACCAAAATACTCTACTAAATTTTTTCTATTTTTTTTTTTTAGTACTTTTCTCTTAAAACCTATTGTTTTTCCTTTCTTCTCCTCTTTTCCCCTCCCTCACGTCCTTTCTCATTCTTTCTCTCTCCCAACTACCCTTGAACAGGGATCGTCATCTCCCTTAGGGTCCTCCTGCAGCACTTGCGGAGCCGGAGCCGCCTCCCCTGCAAAACTTGCATTTGCAGAGGTAAGCCGAACTCAAAATACATTTGATGATAATAATCCTTTCGGCGTCACGTCCCGACCTGAAAATGCCTTCACCTCCCTCTCCGTTCAAAACTCTAATAAAATAAACAAAAATAATAAATAGAATAAAATAAAAAACGGGCTTGGTGAATGGTGAGTTAGTTCTTATTTTCACTCTCTCTATCCAATAACAGAAACGTGGGATAAAATCGCTGAGGTGAAAAAAAAAAAATACATTATTGGATACTATGGTAAAACTACATCAGACCTTCTTCCTTCTTCTACTACTATTTCCATGGCTCCTCGATCGATGACTCCAGCTTTGGAAACCCTAAAAAGTGAAAATCAAGCTCATCTGTCGTCTTGAGATTGCTTCTGGACATCTAAATCGATATTGAAATCTCCTAAAACCTCTTTGGTGCTCGGTTGATGTTTGATCTGGTACTGAAGAAAAGGGTTAAGTAGAATAGATCGGCTCTGATTTACTAGCTCTAAGAGTTTGAATCGGATTCCTGTTCTCAGTTTCCGTCTAAAGAAGCTCTTACGGTCATCTTCAACTGTAAATGCTGTTAATTTACACATCACTACTTGGTTTTTAGTCATGGTGAGGCGTCATGGATGACTACTCCCTGCTCACACTTTTCAGGTACATTATACAACTTTTATTTATCTTTTCATTTTCTGCTGAATAGGATTTACTAACTCTAAGAGTTTGAATCGGATTTCTGTTCTCAGTTTCCATCTAAAGAAGCTCTTACGGTCATCTTCAACTGTAAATGCTGTTAATTTACACGTCACTACTTGGTTTTTAGTCATGGTGAGGCGTCATGGATGGTAGCTCCCTGCTCACACGTTTCTGGTACATTGTACAACTTTTATTTATTTTTTCATTTTCTGCCGAATAGTTTCTGCAATTTCAATCCCTACGCTGAGGAAGGGGAAGAAGAGAGATTGGGGGAGAGAGAGAAATGTGAAGGAACGGAAAGGGAGTATGAAAAGGTTGGAGAAGATGAATATCTAGTTATTACAAATGATAGTATGGGGATTAAAAAATATTGCAACCACCTTTGTGTCAAAGTCATAATACGGGGGTCTTTGTCATGGACCCCATAGTACTGGGGGTCTTTGTAATTTACCCTAAATTAAAATGGATATAGATATAGATAAAAGTTAATAAATTTTAGACAATTTAATGAAGTAAGGAAGATAAAAAAGAATTAATGGCATGAGTTGAAGGAGAGAGTTAATGTCATGATTAATGATAAGAGATAATTAAAGGAGTTAATGGTGAGTTAATGAAAGGAGATAAAAGTTTTAAATCTTAGGGAAAATTTCTTAAACTACCTCCAAGTTTTAGGAAATTGACTTAAAGTACCATTAAGTTTTCTCATAATTGACTAAATCCTCCATTACCCTTAGCATTTGTTAGCATTTTATCACAATCCGTTCACATGTGATACCACGTGATATATGATTTTTTTTTAAACCCAATATTATCCTTTTGTGTCAATTTTGCCGTCCTTTTTTATTCAATTTTTCAAATCTAAATAGTTGATGCGGAAAGTCTCTAACCATTTACAGGTTTCAACAGTGGCTATGGAAACTTAGCACGTCCATTCTTCAATACATGCCTTGAAATTGCTAGCAATTGCAAAATTATTCACCATCACTTTCCGATCAGTTCCATTCTTCAACATCAAAGAAAATAAATCCAACGCTTCCAAGTTCACGCCTTCCTATGAATATGCCGCAATCATAGTGTTCCACGAGACAACATCCTTGTTGGGCATCTCATTGAATATCTGACGTGCTTGTTCAATATAATCACACTTGGAATACATGGTGATCAAGCCATTGGCAACAAAATTTTGTCTAAAGAATCCTCTCTTTAAAATCAAAGAGTGCAAGCTCGTCCCTGTATCAACACACCTCAGTTTGTAGGAGACCCTAATTATGACAGTAAGTGTAGTCTCATTGGACTCAACACCAGTTCTCCCCATGTGTAGAAAGTAAGATAGTGCCCGATCATTGAACCCTTATGTGCACTCATTGATATCATTGAGGTCCAGGAAAACACATTATTCCCAATATTCGCAAGCATTCCTCCAAATGGGTGACCTGTTTGAGAAAACTAAACTAACTTATGTATAGAGAGAGGTAACTCTTTTAGAAAAATTGAATCTTTTTGATGCATTCGTTGTAGGTAAATAAACCAAACTTTCTTTTTTTTTTATATTTGAACTTATATGCTTCAGCATCAAAGTAGAACCTAGGATCTACAATTAACTAGTAAGTTTTGGTCATGTTTGGGAGTGCTTATTGAACAAGTGCTCATTTGAATAAGTTTTTTTTCAAGTGCTTATTTTAAAAGATAAGCATTTATTTCATATTGGGTGTTTGGCAGTTTTTTCTCCAATAAGCACTTAAATAAGCATTTATAACTATTTTATCCTTTATTTTATTTCAAAATTTCAAAATATACCCTTATGAAAGTACTTTTATAAAAGTATAAAAGTACTTTTTACAAAAGTGTTTTTATGAAAGCACTTTATAAAGACACTTTTATAAAAGTACTTTTTACAAAAGCAATTTTATGAAAACTTTTATAAAACTCAACAAGGGATAATTTTGGAAGAAAAAATTGAATGTCTTGAAATTTGGGCTTAAGAAAGTACTTTTACAAGGGATAATTTTATGAAAGTACTTTTACAAAAGTGCTTGAAATTTGGGCTTAAGAAATAAGTCTTTATTTTTAAAATAAACACTTATTTTGGGTTTTATTTCCCAAACACCAATAAGTGCTCAATGGTGTGGTCCTGACCCAAATAAGCACTTATTTTTAAGCACTCCCAAACATGGACTTAGTATTAAACAAAAGGCCTTATTGTTTCATTTTTCTATGTGATAAGTGTTGGGTTAGGCTTGTTTTATATATAGATTTACATTTAACTAATAAGTTTAGTATTAAATAAAGGCTTCGTTTCGTTTGTGTTTGTAGTCAGTTTCAGAATTCAAAAGGATTAGAAAGATACAAAAAAAAAAAAAAAACTTTTAGTGAAATGTTTCATTTTGAAAATTTAAAGAAGAATAATGTGTAAAATAATATTTTCTTTCTTTTCATTAATGAAGGCTAACGATAAGAGGATTTAATCAATTGTTAGAAAACTTAGAGGAATACTTTATGTCAATTTCCAAACAGTAGGGGTGATTAAGTTAATTTCGTAAAACTTAGGGGTACTATAAGAAATTTGCCCTAAATCTTATTGGCCATTTAATTATTTTATTCAATTTTAAATTGAGAAAAAAAAAACAAAAACAAGATAAATCTATACTATATATAAAAGTGTGGATGTAGAGTGGAAGTTTTTTTGGACTAAAATTATACTTTTTTTTTGTTTGAAAAATGGTATAAAAGTCATTTTATTACAACTTTAATGCTAGTTTTAATGGCTACTAAAATGTCCATATTTGTCTACTTAGTCCATCTAAGGGTTGAAAATGTAACTTCATTTAATCCCCTCTCATTAAGTCATATACTTAAATATTAGTTCCCATTTTCTCTTATTAAATCCTATATTTAAGTTATTTTTCACTAATAAATGCTACTAATTAGATCTATGCCAATATTTTTAATAATATATTTAAAAACTGATTCAAAAACAAAATCATTCTTTATTGAAGTGGCTAAGCAATTCAACCATCCGAACCAAATTGATTAACTTATGAAATCATAGTTAGGTAATAAATTTTTAATATAAAAATTACAAAAATGTAGAATGTTTTACTGTTTGGCAAGATTAATGGTTCAATTTTTGGGTCAAATGTGTTAACATTTAATGTCACAAATGAATAATAAAAACTAATAAAATAAAAAATACATAAATTATACAAAATAAAAACATTCAGGCACAAGTATAATATCATATAATTATCATATTAAACAAAAAGTAAGTGTGACATATCAAAATTATTTTTACACATAGAAATACAAAAATTATAAAAAAATTGAATACATCTATAATTCTATATTTATATTACTATTAAAAATATCAATAAGATTGTAGAACTTTTTTTAATTAAAATACTCATTTTTTAATTGTGAGGTTTAAATTGTAAATTAAACTATTACTTTTTACCTCATTCAATTCTCTTTATTTAAATTTTATATTTCTTTGATAAACAAAAAAAATGATACACAAAAAAGATAAAACATTTCAAAAGAAGAATCTAGCCAAGTAGTAGACCTGATAGTTATAATTCAAACTTTACAACTCGATCTGATTATCACATTTCTGGATGGAATATGTATGCAATCAAATTTAGATTTTGCAATCTGCTTCTGATTAATAATAAACAATAAATATTTATAAAAATTTTTATTGTCATTATCACCATCTAAAATTGTCAAAGCACATGCACACTTAATGGTGTTTCTTCAAAATAATCACAAACAAAAATACAGAGCAATAACATTTATTTGTTTTGAAAAATGTAAGGTCCTACCGGGAGTCGAACCCAGGTCGCTGGATTCAAAGTCCAGAGTGCTAACCACTACACCATAGAACCCATATTTCAATCCAGGGTGCTAACCACTCTGGACCAAAAAAAAGACTTGCCAGATGAGGTATGGTCGAGACGTCGAGACTCGAGACGTCGAGTCGAGACGTCGAGACTCGAGACGTCGAGTCGAGTCGTCCGTCTGGCGTCGGCCTTCCCTGGCACCCTTAGACGATATAGTCTTTACTTTTTGGTCCAAGATCTGGCAAGTCCAGTCATTGCAGAAAATAGCCTGAATCCAAAAAACCGGAAAGGCACTGTAGAAGGAAACGTCTCTGACGCTCCACGGCTCATGAAAACGAATCGAAGCTGAGAAGTGGCTACTCGACGTGGGCCATTTCTGCCCTCATAATATTCTCTCTCTCTCTCTCACTCTCTCTCTCTTATTTTATTTCTCTTCACCGGTCATTACCCATTTACCCCTCTCTAGTCCGTCTCTCCCTGCCATAAACTGCCACTCCAGAAAATTGGAACCTCTCTAGTTCTCTCCCTCCCTCCTCGGTCGCTTAATTCTGTGGATTGATCCCGTCGTTCCGAAACGCTGCAACTTGGACATCTTTCTTCAAACAGTTTGTGGAGAGATGGGCGAGAGTTCCATGGGGGCACTTGTGCCTTCGGTGAAGACGGAAGCAAAATTGTCCGCGGTAGTAGCAGGGTCGTCAGAGGCCGCTGATGAAGCAGCGGCAGCAGAAGCTGAAGGAGGTGCAGCCACAACGATGCCGGATACGGGAGTGGCCGAGTTCGATAAGGACTTCTTGTGCCCGATATGCATGCAGGTCATCAAGGATGCCTTCTTGACGGCTTGTGGCCATAGCTTCTGTTACATGTGTATTATTACTCATCTTCACAACAAGAACGATTGCCCTTGTTGCGGCCGCTATCTTACTAACAACCAGCTCTTCCCCAATTTCCTCCTCAACAAGGTTCATCAACTATTCCATTTTCTCCTTTTAGTCAGTTTCCTTTTTGTAGGAATTAATGCATTTTTTTGTGTTTTATGGGAATTCAATATCTTTATGCACTTGAATTTCTGTTCGGTTACAAATTTATTTATATTTGCTTGCTTGTTTTGAGTTTCAAACATTCATGGGATTGCAAATGCAGGAAGAAACTTTGAAATTCTTTCTAGTATAGTCGTGACTGGTCTTAATGCTTTAGACCACCAGCTTAATATGAATATTTTTGGTGAATACTTGTGATCTTCTTCTGGGATTTTTAGAGTGCATTCTGAATTTTCTCCAACGGATGATGTTTGAAAAAGAAAAAAAAAATCTAAAAGTAAGCCAAACCAGCTTGTCCCAAGAATGGGTTCTGGTGACGAAGATTGGAGATTTAATGTCAACATGTCTTAAAATATTTCTTATGAGGTTAGGACCGTGTGAGTGAAAATCGGGGAAACTATTTGTTTATTTCAGTTGCAGAAGAGAATATCTTTACTGTTTGGAAAATTATATACTATATTATTATTTCTAAGCTGCTAGCCTCTTCATGAGTTTGATCCAACTGAACGGTGGTAACTGGAGACCCATTAGAACTACGCTTAAAAAACAAAATTTGGGGAGAACTTGGACAAAAAAGAGAAAGGAATCAGACATTCAGACTATTTTATACACTTTCTTCTATTTGTAGTAAGAAATAGTTTCATTGCACTCTATCTAATAAAAGTTTGGAGGTCTCTACCGTAAGTGACTTGGTGGTTTGTACAATCTACATTCAACTCTGAAACTCTCTGAAGTTTTCTTTAGATATTTCAGCTCTGTTTACACGTCATGTTATTTCTACATTACTTGCATCATATAATTGGAATACTGACTGTTAATTAATGAAGTCTTTGAAATTTAATCTTCATACATAATTAGTGTTGTAAAATAATTTCCTTGGCATGCAGCTCATTATTATACGGTTTATCTGTACCACATTTTGTAGCTACTGAAGAAGACTTCTGCTCGTCAAATAGGGAAAACCACATCACCCATAGAGCATCTTCGTCGGGCATTACAACAGGTCAGTTTTTACTTCTAAGTTCTGAGGCTGGAGAGTTTCAAAAGCGACATTTAATATGTGGTTTCCATTTTTTTTGTTGGTGGCCATTATAAATATTGATTGTTTTTGCTGATCCTGCCAATTTGTTAGTTTATGTGGCCTGATTACAAATTTTATTCTAGTAATGCAATAAAAATAGCCTCATAGCTTTAAGTATTCTTTCACTGGGCTTATATTTAAATGCTATAGAGTTCTGGCTCTTGGTCTAATTATAACTCTCAAAAAGTAAGATGGGTCTTCTTTTACTGATAACATATATCACACCATTTTCTAGTAGTACATGCATACATTACATCTGAAAATCATATTGATTTCCTTTTTGATGATTTATGTTTATTGTTTCTCATTTTATTTTCACCTTAAAGGTCTAAAAGAGTATCTGGTTTAAAAAAAAAAATTCAGTGAGTGTGTCAATTGAACAATTGTTGTTTCATTTCTTGGTTTTATCATTATTTCCACAAACCATCATTCTTTCTATTTTCATATTGTTGATCTCTGTCAAAACTAGCCACCATGTGTGTGGGTTTATTAGAAAACAATTTGTCATGCATATATTGGGTTTATTTAGTGAAAGGCATAGATTCAACATCACTTATGTCCCTGAATTGTTGTGTTGGGAATAGGAAAATTCTTTTGAATTGATGAAGCTGTAGGTCATGCCAAAATAAATAGTTAAAGGAAGAATCCAATGCTAGGGCTGACTTAAATATGATCCTTAGTGGAGATGAAAGCATAGTCTGATGCTTCTTTTATGTGAATAGGCGAAATATGCTATCTTTGACATTAACATCTGCAGGCAAGGCAGCCAGATATGTCTTTTCACCTTTGTTTTCCCAAATAAATATTTTGAAACCCTTGAACAGAAATGATTCTGATCCTATGAGACTTATAATTTTGCCATAGTAATAGCACAGTATTTAGCAAATTTAATGGTTTCTTCTTTCAAATATGCTTCTTTTCCAACTGTTTAAATGCAATGTTTTCTTTGACTCCTAGACAGGGATGTGAGGTGTCAGTTAAGGAGCTAGACAGCTTATTGACTATCCTTCTGGAGAAGAAAAGAAAAATGGAGCAGGAAGAAGCAGAGACAAATATGCAGATTCTGCTTGACTTCTTGAACTGCCTAAGGAAGCAAAAGCTTGAAGAGCTGAATGAGGTTTGTAGTCATAAATCTTTGGAACAGCCATGCTTGCCTTTTACGGTAATTTATTTTGAAGGTCCATCCAAATCAGACCAATAGGTTCTGTATACTCTATTTTCTAATTTCTATCAGAAGTGTTGTAAGTCCTTTGTTAAGAGTGTAGCATTATCTTCCACGAATACATGCAGCATGGTTGGACTATTTGGTGGATTTCACCTCAAATTGAAATGTCTTAGTGTCATCAGCATCACGACCCTTCATTTGTTTGCTTTCATTTGGCTGAAAGAAAATTTATTGTCTGCAATCAGGTGAAAAGTGTTAATCCAGATAATTATGATCCATTCAATTACATTTTCGTGTATGAGATATAGCTCTAGCTATATTTTGGATACATCCTGCCACCCTGTGTGTGTAAGCTGAGTTTGAATGTTATTGGATGACTGTCTCTAATGTATGTCTGACAGGTTTTGTCTTTGTTGAAGCAATTATGATATATTAAGTTCATCTGATTAATGCGTTTCTACATCTTTTGTAGATACAAAACGATCTTCAGTATATTAAGGAGGATATTAATGCTGTAGAGAGACATAGAATAGAGTTATATCGAGCAAGGGAGAGATATTCAGTGAAACTGAGAATGCTTCATGATGATCCTATGGCTATAAAAGCATGGCCATCTTCAATGGATAAGCACAGTCCTGGCCTTCTATCTAGTGCTCGTAGTGCACAAGGGGGAACAAGTTCAGGCAACTTTCAGAACAAGAACGATCTAAAGGCTCAATTGAGTTCTCAGGCACTCCAAAGAAAAGATGCTTTCAGTGGATCAGATCCACAAAATGTTGCTACTCAATCTGGACTTGCTATAGCGAGGAAAAAACGGGTTCATGTACAGGTTAATGACTTCATAAGATTCTCATCTAAATAAACCATGGAAATTTTTATGTATTATGTTATAGTTTCTGTACTAAATTATGCCCATTTGGTAAAGATTACCAACCAATAATTGCTGGTTGGCCTTGTGTACATCAAGAGTTACCTATGGGTCCCACTACCAGAAATTGTTGAGCTGATCTTCTGAAGAACAGAAGAACCATAAAAGATATGGTACAAGATCCTGAAAAATCCACAAAGTGGATTTGTAGCACCATTTGTTTGCTTGTTTTTCAAATCAGTAAAAATAAAGCATTTTATTAGAGAAAACATAGGATGTAGGATTCATCACCAATATCTTACCTACGATTACAAGTTTTCACCCTGTGGGATTCATCACCAAGACATTTTGGCTTCTAAGATTTGTAGCACCATTTGTTGTGTTGCATTTTTATTGAACAGGAGATTAAAGTTTCCTTGACTTGTCTGAATTCCATTCCATGCATCTGCTCCATGACAATTCATGTTAATTTTCTTAGTGCACCATTTAATGTTTAAAATGAAAGTGGAGACCTCCCTTAATTGATTAGGTTAATGAACATTTTCCCTATTAAGTAATTACATACATTTTTACACGTATCTTATTTTTATGTTTTTTATTCAGATCGTGAAAATTAATTGTAAGTACTTTTAATTTATTTTATCTATTCTGGATTCACTCATTTCCATATCTTGCAACAGTTCAATGACCTACAAGAATGTTACTTGCAAAAACGGAGACATTGGGCCAGCCAATCACAAATGCAAGAAGAAAGGGGTCCAAATGCCATTAGAAGAGAAGGTTATCATGCAGGTCTTGAGGATTTTCAATCTGTATTATCTACCTTTACGCGATACAGGTATCCAATAATGTATTTTTCAGTTATTGCTGCTCAATTCCATTTAGGAAAGCATTTGATTTTACTTATGCTGTTTTTTTGTTATACTGGTGGTTAATGTATTTTTTTTTTGTTGTTGTAATTAGTCGTTTGAGGGTAATTGCAGAACTCAGGCATGGGGATCTTTTTCACTCTGCCAATATTGTATCAAGGTGAGGAGAAATTTTGTACATATTACATTCTTATGAAGGTATATCTTAGTTGAGAAACTTTTGGGGTTCATACTTGGATTGTGCTGCCATTTGATCTTGGTTTTACTTAATTGTCATTGTCTTGGGCAAATTATAATTTCTATTTTAAAGCACGGTAAATCAGAAAAAATTATCTGAAAAATATGTCATAATTTTTGGGTGTTGGATTTTCTTATATGGACAATACTCCTACTCTATCAATTCATTGTTGAGTTGACTACCAAATCCTGCATTAACTAGGGATAAATTAACTAAGTTGGGTTATTCCAAATTGTGGTTGATTTAAAGTTATTGTGGAAATCAACTAAGCATTGCCACCTTTTTTGGTAATTTAGTATTTTTGTCTCTGGGAAGGCAGTAGGTCTATAGCTCAATTCAAATGTTTTATCCAAGTTTCTAGCTATATGGGAAAATTCTAATCCTCACTCAACAGTTGCAAACATGTTAGTCTTATGTTTTCAATCTGTAGGTATGTGTTGATTGCCACAATCGTAGTAGCACAGAGGGTGCTAAACCGATGCCACAAAGACACTCACAACGAGTCCACAACTTGGCACACATCTGCGATGAGCTAAGAACCTGCATAGACTTGCGATGAACTTAAAGCCCAAAATGAGTTGTGATGAGCTCAGAACCCGCATAGACTTGCGATGAGCTCAAGTTCATCGCAGGTCAAGAACGAATAAAGAAACACGAGCTTCACTAATGACGCGCGTGGCAGAGCGCACAGTAGGATTAGAAAGGACATGTGAGATAAATATTGACGTCACCCGTGCCACATCAGTCTAAGAGGCTCACGAAAGGAAGTAACACATGTATTATGAGAATCTTCAGACGAAAGGAAGTAGCACATGTGGCAAAACCCTAGCGGTGTTCCCTAACAATTGACACCGAATCCAAGATTCCCTTCCCTAATGGGAATCAAACATTTTTATCTCCTTCCTTTCGGGACCTCGGGATCTCTCCCTATAAATAGGGGTCCAATTCATAACGAGACCATCATCCTATCACTTCATTCACCCTAGCCTTTAGCCTACCTCTTGCTTTCTTGCTCTTGGCTTTCCTTTGTCCTTCAAGGAGACCCCTGTACGTAGCCTAACCACCATACTCACACAACCAATTAATATGTTTCTCTCTTAAAATGTATTGAACCCAAGCAGAAGTTTATCTCTGTTAAACTTTTGCTATTCGAGACAATTTTGATCTTCAATTGAAATAATGGGAAATTACCCACCTTGTCTACTTCAACTTATCCTCTAAAAAAATCTTCAACCTATCCATATACTAAAAGTTTGAGCTTGCAGCCGTTTCTGCTGTAAGGGTCCTTGTTATTTCTTTGTCATCATCTTTCTTAATAATATCTATTACTGTTCTTGCCCCCTTTCAATTTTCAATTTCTCATGTGGAGTACAATTTTCTCTCAAGGGTAAATCAACATAATAATCTGGTTTGTAAATTTAAATTTGGGTCAGGAAGGCATAAGGTTATTCTGGTGCAAACACAAGTGTGGAGGTTCCATTTTGGGTCCTATGTAGAGATTATCCTGTAACAAAGTTTCAACATAACTAATTGGTTCTAACTATTTTATGTGAAACCTATTCACCGTAAAAGAGAAAAGCATCCACCATATTATCTCTATGATTTAACTTGGTATCTTTCCTAGGTTGACTTATCAAATGATGCTTCCTGATCTTTGCATGGGCTCTGTCTTGTATCTCAATTGCTGGACACTCTACCTTTCAATTCTGAGGGTGTAAGTAAGACATTTACTTCCAGTGAAAAGAGGGAGCTTTGACAAATTAATAGACAAATGCTCTTCCTTGTGTGTTCTATTTCTTCTTAAAAAGTTGTCTTCCTGAAGCTATTGGAAGGAAGATGTAGACATCAATGATAGTGGTACAAATTGGTGGAAAAATATATGCAATTACAATAAATAACAGTGTATACTTTTTGATAAATACTCGTATGTATGTTGAACTTGTTAAAAAAGGCAAATCCCCAATGTTGGTCCTAGTTATCCAGGGTTGGGAGGGGTGGACTGGACAGGGATCTAAGTAAATCATAGTAATAGAGGCACTATGAGTGGGAATTCATTTAATATGGTGTTGGTAGAGTGGTTAGTGGTAGTGCCTTCAATTTAAAATTATTCAATATGATGTTGGTAGCTTATACATCCTATCTTTTTGTAGCTTCATATTTCTCCTTTTCCTCTGAGTCATCTATAATATGTATATTCTGACAATAATAAATGGCTCTCGTTTCTATTGCAGCATAGAATTTGACCGTGACGATGAGTTATTTGCTACTGCTGGAGTTTCTAGGCGCATTAAAGTTTTTGAGTTTTCCTCGGTAAATTCTTGGTTATCAGAAATTATTTTGCCTTCAGTTCTGCAATTACAGATTGCATTATGGAGCTAGGCATCTAATTCACTCAAATCATCAAACAACCAACTAGTATTCATCATTTCATTGATGGTCTAGTTGGGCACTAGGGTTCTTATACACCTAGATGGGTGACTAGTCAATAACTGTGATTACACTGCTGCCCAGATTTTGAATATTTTCTGGAATACCACCATAGGAGCTAAGTTATGATAATCAGATCTTGACTAAGCTACCTCCTTATTGGGATGAGTCTCTGCTGCCAGCTTCAACCTATTGGCACCCCATCATTAGTTCAAATATATAAATGTACTATATACACACAAATACATGTGCACCCACTTGGGTATATATATTACCAAAATTGCTCCTTTCACTTTTCTCATCCATCCCAAAGGCATAAATTAATAAAACAATTGGTTGATTTTTTTTTTTTTGTTCCCGTTGATGTTCTGCCCTCTAATGTATTTCTCCACAAGAGGCTTTATGCTTGGCCCAACTATATATAGCTAGTAAGTGTTTTAAAAGGCGTGGGAGGCATATGCCTGGAGGCGTGAGGTGTGCTAGAGGCGTACGCCTCATGCACATCTTATATAAAAAAGACAGAAAAAAAAAAGAAAAAAGAAAAAAAGGAAAGGAAAGGAAAGGAAAAGAAAGGGAAGGGAAAGAAAAAGAAAGAGAAGAAAAAAAGAGAAAAGGAAAGGGAAGGGAAGAAAAGATAAGAGAAAAGACCCCCACTTTCAACTAATGTTGTGCATCTTTATTCTTCTTAATATAAAAGTTTTTTATTAAAAATAAAGAAAAAATGAGATCCCCCCTTCCTCTTCATCCTCATCCTAACCCCCTCCTCTTAAGGAGGCTTACGCCTCTTGTGTTCTGAACTACGCCTCACGCCTCTAGGTAGTGGAACGCCTCGCGTCACGCCTCCGTGTTTTAAAACATTTAAATGATACTTACATGTACTCATTGTACAATTTCCTCGGTCTTTAATAAAATTATCTATTATTTATCGAAAGATGCTACTCACTCTGTATGCATGGTTTGCAGGTGGTGAATGAACCTGCAGATGTGCATTGTCCCATTGTGGAAATGTCCACGAGATCCAAACTTAGTTGCTTGAGTTGGAACAAGTACACTAAGAACCATATAGCTAGTAGTGATTACGAAGGGATAGTCACTGTTTGGGATGTAAACACTCGACAGGTATAACATCTTCATCTTATTTTTACTGGAAAGCATCATCTTATTTGCCTTGTATTTTTCTGCATTTCAAACCTCTTGTTTCTGTTACACATTTTAAACCATGGTCAATCTTTTAGAGTGTGATGGAGTATGAGGAGCATGAAAAGAGAGCATGGAGTGTTGATTTTTCTCGCACAGAACCCTCAATGCTTGTGTCTGGTAGTGATGATTGCAAGGTACTTACAATATATTCCGAGTTGAAAAGTTTACTTTATTTGGCTGGTTATCAGTAAAATGATTGAATGAACAAAAGATAATTCATATGTTATTTGCTTGCACAAAATGTCGGAAAAGTTTTATTGTCTTCCCTAAAGTATATCTACGATAACATTTTCTCCCATATAGTTTGCTTGCATCTCTAGACTCTACTAATGAGGCTCAAATTTGATTTCAAAAACTAAATAAGTTCTACGAAGTCTTATATTAGTTAATGATAATTCCACCATAAACAATTGATGCAATTGGTTAACAATGTTACATTTAATATTAAATAAATAAATTGTTTTCTTAGAAGAATACATAGAAATCTTGCTCTTTTAAAGCTTAAAAGTTCACACGAAGCCACCAAGACATTGCATAGTTAACTCTGGGAATAGGGTAAGATCCTAGTAAGACACATTTTGGGGGCGGGGGGGATTGGACCTTTGAAAGAGTGCTTCTCTAATCTCTTCTCTATCTCCTTGTTCAAAACTAAACTTATTTTCCACTTCATTTCTTTCTCAAGGGGTGGTTTATCCTGGGATTTTGGTTTCAAGAAAGGGCTAAGAAATTACGAAATGCCTGCTGCCATAGATTTAATCAGTTTTCTTGATTCTTTGTCTCTTGTGCAATCTAAACCTGATTGCAAAATTTTGAATGCCTCCTTCCAGTATTTTCACACGTGCTTCCTTTTTCATTGCCCTCATTTCTTCCACACCTCCTACTCAGTCTTTTCCCAGCAAAGGAAATTGGAGCAAACCAGTGCCCCCTAAGATTAGGGCTTTCTGTTGGGAGGCATGTCATCAAAAGAAACACACATCTGAGATGCTACAGAAAAGAAGACCTTGGTGCCTGTCTTCTCATGTTTGCTCTGTGTTATGCAAATGGAGAATCTATTTATCTATTAATCTCCAGTCAGTTTGTGTCCAATATTTGGGAGTGGGTCTTTGACCTATTTGGATGCAGGTGGCATGGGCTTGAGGACCTTGAATCTCTTTAATATCCCTTTCTTTCCTCTACCCACTAAGGGAGGTAAGGTTATGTGGAGGTTATTAGGGCTGCAACCCTTTGGATGTTATGGGAAGAACATAACAATGGGATCTTTAAATAAAGGATTCAAGAAGAGGTCAAGGAAAGTGTACAAATGAAAGTTGTCCAGTGGATCCAAATGTCAAACCTATATGAGAACCTTTCTTTTGATAACTTTTTTCTTAGAGGGTGGAGGATGATGGCGGCTACTTCTTCTCGTATGGATGTTGTTTCCTTGCATTTAGTGCCACCAACTGATTGAAAGAAAAATATAATGGGGAGAGAATGTAGTTGTGGCTATGCTTTATGAGAGAATGAAAAGTTTCCTTTTTCTCTATGGCTTAAAGTTTTCCATGTGACATAATTTCTAGTTTATTTTCAGGATTGAGGAGGATAAATCCATAATTAAAGCTATAGAGGAGGCAATTGTAATTGCTTTTACATTGTACAGGGGACCTTTTCTTTTGATATCAATGAGTTATACTTTACCTTTTTCAGAAAAATAATGCAATTACTTTTATACTTCAGGGGAGACAATAAAATTTGCTCCAAAATACAGTTTTTGTCTGTTCATTTGATTACCATAATGGGTAGCCCAAAAAGGATTTGAATAATTACAAGTTAGTAGAGCAATTTCATATCAATTAGCAACTAAGGAAGGGTATAATTTTGCATAATAAAAATTTAAGGCAGAGAGTAAGGAAAAGAGAAAAAGAGAAGGGACAGAGCTGCTGTTTTATTTAATTTAAAAGAGAAGGAGAGAGTAGTCATATACAAAAAGAAACCGTTTTTTATCCTTCTCTTTTTTTTTTTTTTTGTTCTTTTTCTCTTGTCAAAACCCTTGGATCTTTTAAATTTTAGTAGTAAGACCTTAAAAACAAAGCATAATTGATATAAACACACACACACACACTACTAAGATGCATAATAAGGCACCTGCCTTGTATTTTTGTCACAGATGTCTTATCATCTAGGCATCCAAAAAGGGGTGCCTTCTTACCTAGGTGACACCTTGACAACTCTGCTTTTGATACTCTTTATGCAATGCACCCTTGACGATTAGATATTTTAGTCTGAGCTCAATGCTAAGCTGTCAAACTTTAACGGTTTTTTTCTTGCCCTAGATATTTGAAAGTCCTAGGTTTAAGAAACCAGTATCTTAAGGTAAGTAATGCAGTAAATCATGTGAAGATGCTTCAGCATTTTTCAGCCATATCCATGTGCTATACTGTGCCAGTAAGTGGTAGGCTGCCACACCTCCCTGCCATTTTACTCTTTCTTGCTTTTTCTTCATTGTGTCAAGATACCCAGGAAGGTATAGGATGAAAGTGACTATAAGAAATGATTCTAGAGTTTTGGTTGTCTTTCAAGACTTTCAAAGGTAGATGGTTGGTTTAGATTCGTGCTGACTCAATTGGTTTTCATTCTTTTCACTTCTAACTTTCCTTGTGGTGTACTTGTGTGAAAACAGGTTAAAGTGTGGTGCACAAAGCAGGAAGCCAGTGTACTTAACATCGACATGAAAGCAAATATTTGTTGCGTCAAATATAATCCTGGATCTAGCATACAAGTAGCGGTATACTTTCATCTATCATACATGTTTTGGTCATATGGACCATTGGACCAATGACCTGGGGTGGGAGGCCATGCTTTATAATATGTCTTGCATAAAGCTCATATCTCATTTAGAGAGCCATTACTCCATGATTTATTTCAGATGGACCGCAAGCAACCCCTAAGGTCATAATGCATATGTATTCATGTTTTTTTTTCTTTCCATAGCATGTTAACTTTTACTTCCTCACTGTACGTCAGTTGCTGCTTCTGTCAAACTCAATCTAATCTTTCTTAACAGTCTTTCCAATTTCATCACTGAAACATATTTCTCAATTTTCCTATCTAGTCAATACTCCTGCATCTTACTTTTGCTTGGACTTAATCTATATATATCAATCTATATGTATAAAATCCATCTTTTAAATTATGAAAGCTTTTGTTGTTCTGCAGGTTGGTTCTGCAGACCATCACATTCACTATTATGACTTGAGAAATGTCAGCCATCCGCTCCATGTTTTCAGTGGGCATAAGAAAGCTGTTTCATATGTAAAGTTTTTGTCTAACAATGAGCTTGCTTCTGCATCTACTGACAGTACATTGCGGTTATGGGATGTGAAGGAAAATATGCCAGTAAGTGACACTCCTTGAGAGATTGGTTGGTTTGCATTTTTTTTAACATTTTGTTTCAATAGATATAGCTAAGCATTATATGACTTTGTTTTCTTAGTTGCTTTTTACTGTTACCCAAGGATAAATAAGTAAACAATTATCTCTAGACCTATTATGCTTTTATGTGTTTGAATGGATGGTTAAAGGATGAAAGTAAGTTTGTCTGCAGTATCAGCTTTCACAGAGTACACTCAGTTGACATGGTTGGAATATCAAAGTAATTGGAGTCTTTTAAAAATGAGTTTTACTTGATCTAAAATCCTAATTAGTTTTTTTTTTTTTTTTCCTTCTTTTTGGAGGAAGCAGTAATGTTTTAAACATTGTTTTAAAAGGCTTAAGCCTTAAGGCATGAAGCGCACAAATTCTGCCTCAAGGCTTAAGCCTCACAACTTTGATGTGAGGCTTAAGCCTTTGTTAGAATGAGGCATAAGCCTCAAGCCTCAAATATCAATGATTACATAGTTATTTAATGCAAAAAATATAATTCTTACCATTTAAAACATATAGAAATAACACTTCAATAATTATAAGCCAAATAAAAAAGTAAAAAAGAAAAACCAATAAGGCAAATCAAATTCTAGTAGTTTTTCTTAGTGTTTTTAGAAAGTTCAATGCAAAAAGGACTTATTAAGGTCTTAGTTTATTTTGGATAAATTAAGTGAGAATTTTCTTATTATTCTAATTGTACTGCCATCCATGACCTTCTACCAATTCTCTCCCCTTGGATCATGTATGGTTTGAATTTAGGAAACCTCGTTAAAATTTGGGAACAAACTTGGGTGGGGGATTTTCCTTTGATGAACCAGTTCCCTTCTTTGTATGCTCCCTCTGACTTGAAAAATGAGACCATTTCTTCCTTCCTAGTTCCCTCAGACTCAACCTCTAGTTTTGGGTGGAATCTGGGCCTAAGAAGGGCTGTTAGGGATACAGATTTGGGTAACATTTCGACCCTCTTGGCCATTCTTGACAATGTTTTCTTGGACCCTTCAAAGGAAGAGAACAAATTTTGGACCCCCTCTCCCTCGGGCTCATTCTCTTGTGCATCTCTGTTCAAAACCTTAACTCAACAACCTACTCTTCCTAGTTTGTCTTACCCTGTTAAAGAGGTTTGGTACAAGCCCATTCCTCCTCAGGTTGGGAGTTTTTGTTGGGAAACTTTCCTAGAAAGAATCAATACAAGTGATCTGTTTCAAAGAAAGAGACCCAAGACTTGTTTATCATAGGTGTATTCTTTACAAGGTGGATGGGGAATCTGGTTACCACGTTTTGGTGTCTTGCTTCTATGCTAAAATTATATGGGAATGGGTTTTCTCACTTTTTGGGTGTAGCTAGAATCCCCCAATGAATGTACAAAGCATGTTTTCTCCTTCCTTTTTCAGCTGGCCAATGAAAAGAGATAGGATCATGTGGAGGTGTCTAAGGGCTGCTGTTTTCTGGACCTTATGGGAAGAAAGAAACTCAAGAATTTTTATTAGAAAAGGAGAGAAACATTGAGAACCTAATAGAGTTGGATCACTTGATCCATATTAGGGTGGCACATTGGCTGAAATCTCTGGACTTATTCACATACTTAACCGTGGATGACCTGTTGAATTTTGATGCCTCCCCCCTCTGGCTTCCTAAAGCTGAATTTTGATGGCAGCAGCTTTGGGAACCCAGGATTGTCAGGTATTGGGGGAGTTTCCAGGAATGATGAAGGGATTGTTTCAGCTCTTTACTATGGCCCTATTGGGGAGGGTGACTCTCTAAGGGCTTAGATTTTTGCGGCGTTGGAGGGAGTTCAAAGAGCAAGAGAGCTGAACATTTGGAGGCTGATAGTTGAAGGGGATTCCCCCCTCAAGAGTGGCAGGACTTTTTGACTCTAGTTTTTTCCAACAACCAAAGAAGAAGGGAAGGGTGATGTGGAGAACAACGAGAGCAGCTATTGTGTGGGCAGTTTGGGAAGAGAAATAACAGGACTTTCCAAGGGCAAGAAAAAACATTGCTTCAAGTTATAGAAGTCATCACCAGCAAGGCGATACATTGGCTGAAAACAATGGATCTCTTCAAGGATTTTTCTGCAGATGACTTGCTTAGAGGTTGGAACATAGTAGCAAGCCCCTTTACCCCTCCTACTATTGTTAATGAAGAGTGGACCCCACCCATATAGTTTTCTGTGAAACTGAACTTTGATGGCAGCTCTATGGGCAACCCTGGTCCTTCTGGAATCAGGGGTGTGTTTAGAGACATGGAAGGAAGAGTTTTGGCCCTTTAGGGGTGGGTGACTCACTATGAGCAGAAGTAATGGCACTCCTTCAAGGGCTCAGATTGGCTAAACAGTTGGGCTTCCAACAGTTAGAAGTGGAGGGGGATTCAAGATTGGTCATTGGCTGGATGCAAACAAGGAACTTGGGCACTTGGCCCCTCCCCTTAGACATCATACAAGGGAAATAATGAATTTGATATGGGAGTTAGGAGCACAATTTAACTGGGTTAGGAGAACAGCAAATGGGTTGGCTGATGTTTTAGCAAAGCAAGGGGTTAATAGGGAGACTTATTTTGGGCATGCTTATAGTTTGATTATGTTCTGAGGGGTCACCTCACCTTTTAGGAAGGTGGAAATTGTAATTTTATAATTTTAAACTTGATGAAAGTTACTGTTTCCTATAAAAAAAATAGTTGAAGGGGGCTCAGAGATGGTGGTAAGATGGCTAAAGGAAGAAAAGACTGCAATGCAGAATTACAACAATGAAAGGAAAAAAATTTAAATGGATGGCAAAGGATATTGAGATAAAATTCAGTTGGGTGAAGAGATATGCTAACTCATTTGCTGATGGGCTAGCAAAGCAAGGGGCGAATAGGGGTTCTTTGTTTTGGGCTCATTTCTAATCTTGTAATCTACTTTTGCTGGTTGTGGGGGATTTAAGATATCTTACCTCCCTCTGTTTGTATGTATATTTCTTCTCAAATCTTAATGAAATTCCATGTTATTAATAAAAAAAAGAAAACAGTGGGTATATAACCTAGTTTGGTGAAATGACATTGGGTACAAAAAATAGGAAAATAATTCTAAATAAATTGGAGCGAATTTATTTTTTAACATAGAAATGCCTATAGGATCTGGGGCTAGGTAGTGTCGTCAATGGATTGGGTACGGGCTGGGTCAGGGTAGACAGTTCCAAATTGATGAAGCATATAGACCCAGTCCTGGCACAGACCCTATAGGGTCTGCTACTTAAAGGCCTAGAACTGACACAGTTATTAATTCTTTTTTTTTTTTTGAGGAACCCAATTATTAAATGGCCCTATTGGGTCTGACCCAATAAGACCTGATTATAATTTATGAGAATTTGGCTTGATAATTTGACAATTAAAGGCATTTATTCAGTTAAAGCAAGTTTTCTCAAATCTTGTAAGGAAAAAACATAAAAAAATTATAGAACAATGAGAAATGAATTAAGAAGAATCTGACATCCTCCATCATTTTTCTTCCGACCCCATCCTCAAAAAGTAAAATCATTTCCTCTGCTCTTGGCTCCTTTAGTTCATTAATTAAAGCAAAAGCATTTATCACATTCCCTCCTTAGCTTTACAATTATAATCATTTTTTCCTTTGAAAGATGAAATCAAATTTATATTAAAGGAGGGGGAGGCTCCCTCAAAACAAAGAATATGGCTGTTTACATAATAAAATTGTCCTCCCTAATCAGCTTGTCTCATTGACTGTAATAAAGTTCTTACTTAATGCCAACAAAGTCTTTGATGGTGGAGGCCCACCTACTGAGGCATTTCCCACAGACCTCTTCAACGGTGGTACCACAGTCTTCAAAGGGTCTGTTGTTGCGTTCTGTCCATATGCACCAACAGAGAGCTAAGGGGACCATGTTCCACAAGTACTCCCATACTTTCTAAAGGACTTGATCTAATTCATGAAGTCAGACCAGGTACTATATGTGAAATCACAGTGGATAAGCAGGTGCTATATATGAAATCTCAGCTGCATCACATAGACAGTAATGATTGATTATTACCATACCTTTGGACTTTGGATTGTCAATTGTTAGGATCCTGCCTTAATGGTCATCCACAGAAAGGACACCTTTGGAGGAACTTTTTTGTTTGTTTTTTTTTTTCTTTTTTTTTTTTTTTGGTTTCTAGATCCACTTCTTGTTTGGAGAACCACTCCTTGTTTTCATAATTCCTTTAGAGGTGTGTGTGAAGGTGGAATTTATGTGGCTTATGGATCACAATTGTTTTCTCAATAACAAATCCTTGAAAGGCACAAACTTGACAGGAGATACAGAGAAATCACCCATGACACATGTTTGTAGACAAATTTCTTTTAAAGAAACTGAAATCCGAACACGAAATCTCTAATTAACTTGTTTTCCAGACTACTTCCCCACAAGAACAAGGCGTGGTTGACTTAAATGACAGAAGGGCCAAGAGAAAGAGCAACCTAAATAATGAAAAAAAAAAACCTAAGAAAAAGATAACAAACAAAATGCAGAACACTAGTGAAACTCCAATGATCAAATAATATAAGATAATATGTAACTATATGAAAACAAACTTCACAAGACAACTAAAAGGGCAAAGATTATGTGGAGATGTGTTAGGGCTGCAGTATGTTGGTCTATTTGGGAAGAAAGAAACTTAAGAATCTTCTCAGAAAAGGAAAGAGCTGTGGAAGCAGTGATAGAAGTGATTCTTGCAAGGGTAGTTCATTGGCTGAAAACCTTGGATTTATTTGTGGATTTTTCAGTTGATGGTTTGTTTAGGAATTGGAAGGAAATTTCAGATTCAGTCCCAGCCAAAAGGGTCTCAAGTTCTTGTTGGACCCCTCCACCTATTGGCTTTACCAAGCTGAATTTTGATGGCAGTAGCATGGGCAATCTTGGGCCCTCCAGAATAGGGGGAGTCTTGAGGGATGAAAGAGGGATTGTGATGGCTATGTTTTCTGGCTTAATTGGAATAGAGGACTCATTGAGGGCTGAGACTTTAGCAGCGTTGGAAGGGATTCAAAGGGCTAAGGATTTGAACATAAACAAGCTGATCTTAGAAGGAGACTCTGAAACTGTAGTGAATTGGTTAAAAGAAGAAAATTCAAGACTATGGAGCTACAGAAATGAAAAGAGGAAATACAACTGGTTGACAAAAGATATGGAAGTTCAACGCACTTAGATAAAGAGAAGTGCAAACTCGTTTGCAGAGGGGTTAGCTAGACAAGGGGTGAATAGGAGCTCTGTTTTTTGGGCTCAACTGTAACTTTTTCTGTTTTTTGGCTTTAGTGGAATTTGTAGGGAGTTAAGTTATTTTAGCTCCCATTGTTCTCAACATTTAATCAATTAATGAAATCTCTGTTATTGATAAAAAAAAAAAAAAAACTTCACATGTTTCAACCACTTGATTACTTCAGCTGTTTTTGTACTACCCAACAGTCTGCTTTTCTTTCCCACATTAAAGTTGTTCACCCATTATATTTTTACAATAAGTCCCCCTTAAAACATCACAAACTTGTTCTAGACCTTAATGCAATGATAACCAAAACCTGGTTTGTACCAATACTTGAAGGTGATCAGATGCTTGAACCTGTGCAGTGGCTCATTGTTGAAGTGAGATCATGAAATGCTGTATGAAAAGTGCTGAACTATTAGTAAGCCAGCTTCCTGTAAGATTGTTGCTGCTATTGAATAATACGAGTGAGAAGGGAGAGAAGCCAATTAAGGTCTCTCTCTCTCTCATGCTTCTTACATATTCATCTTAAATTCACAACTTTGGACATCTTATGACATTATTATAGATAAACCATGAGAATATATATATGTAAATAAGATAATCGGTTAAGGTCTTAATTGGGCTGGAACAAGCAAAACCAATCTCGACCCTTTTATAGTTGGAACTCAATACCAAAAAGCAGAATTGACCCTGTTATCAATCAGGACAGAAAGCCCTATGTAATAGGTTTGATTCCATTGGGTTTTTCAGGTTGACCTAACCAATTGATATCCCTAGGGCTAGAGGGCCATAATCTTGGCTCCCAATTTCCTGGGCCAAAATATCAGCCTGATACATGGATCATGACTCTGTGTTTATTGGTAATCATTTCCATATTGGGTCTATAAAATGCTTTAGAAAGTTCCAGAAACAATTTATATATCAGGTGTCAAAATAATCTCATCCTCGGTATTCTTTTATTGGTAATCATCTTCTCAGTTACACTTTTTAAATTGCAATTGACCTTTTTCTCTAAATGTGCATGTTTAAACTTCAACTTAAGAGTTGCAGTGACTGGCAACCCTCTTAGTCTTTGAATTCTTGAAATAGTGTAGAAGCTAATCTGTCCTTGATTTCTTTTCTGTGGAAAATATTCACAGCTCCGTACATTTAGAGGCCACACAAATGAGAAGAACTTTGTGGGTCTCACTGTAAACAGTGAATACATCGCTTGTGGCAGTGAAACAAATGAAGTGTTTGTTTACCACAAGGTTGGTAGTTTCTCAAGAATCTGGCCTCAGTTTAGTTTGTGATTCTATGGAAACTCCTAAACTAACTTGGTTTTGGGATTCACTTGCAGGCAATCTCCAAACCTGCAGCGGGGCATAGATTTGGTTCTTCTGATGTGGATGATACAGAAGATGATGCAGGACCTTACTTCATTAGTGCAGTGTGTTGGAAGAGTGATAGCGCAACTATGTTAACAGCTAACAGCCAAGGAACGATCAAAGTGCTTGTACTCGCAGCTTGAATAGGGAAAGAAAAAAGGTAAAAAAAAGGGAAAATATATAAAAAAATCCATATACCCATCTTTTTTGCTAGGCATATACCCATCTTGAATCTCCCATTGTTAAACGTGATGACCCTTATATTGTATATATTATTAAAATGTCCAAAATGGTAGCTTCAAAAGGTTCAAATTAAATGAGGATCTCTATATTCCAAATTCTCTGGTAGCTAGACAAATAAGCCTTGACCAAGAATTAGAATTTGAAGCGCTGGCTTAGCTTAGTAGTGTTTTGTTGAACTAGGTAATATACGCAAGTGTAGTCATCGATGCTCTTGTGCAATTGCTCAAACAAAAGATAAAACTGGCCGTTTTTTTGGGAGAATGATGGTTCAGCCTGGCGTCAGAATTTTAGCCCAATTTACAGTTGGGGTGGGTGTCAGTTTGGAATTGATACCAATTCACCGGCGGGCATTGGTGTATAGAGTGGGGGTTTTGACACTTTGAATATTTATAGCTCTCTTCATGAAAATGTAAATGCAGTAATTCCATATAATGTTTGGAAGCATGTAGTTCCGTCAGCCATGAAAGATCAGCTCAAGGTCCCAACTCCCAAGAAAACGGAGGGAGAATGCAAAGTGCAGCTGAATGGTTGCAATCTAAAGTTTATTTCTGCCACTTCCTTTTGAACTTGGAGATCCGGAACGTGGGGACCCTGTAAGCTGTAGCGTGCCTCCCAAAGCCCAGAAATGAGAAATGTGCCTCTCTCACTCACCTCGTTATATCATGCTTATTCTTACCGGCATAGATTTTGATGGGTTGCAAATGATATCGGATTGGCCAAATTTGAATTCGATCCTATCAAGGGTGATTTGAATTTAATCCATTTGCATAAGTAGTTTTCAATTAATTTTGTTCATAAAAAATAATGTTAAAGTCATTCTTAGTTCATTTTATTAATCATATATAATATTTTTATCATTTTTAATCTAAATTAATTCGAATCCTCTAGATATCTAATGGATATGATCGATTTGAATTCAAATCAAATCAAATTTGAATCTGTCTATATCCAATTGGATTCGATCTGTTTGCACCCCCTAGATTTTGATGTCCTATGATTCTCACAGGCTACTATAACCCTATTTACAAATTCCAGTTTCCGACCTGTCCATGGTTGTTAAGGCTGTCACTGGCCCGGGTTTACCCAACATATCTGAGCAATCCAATCCAATCCGGTTCTGGGTCTACATTTTTATAATCTAACATATTATATAAGGATATGCAATTATTAGATGATTTTGAGAAAATAAAATAAGAAAATCATCAGGTAAATGACTCAACTACAATGGAGTCTTATTGGATATAATTTAGAATAGGATCCGTTTTGGGTCTATCTGTTTGGGTGGGTCTGACTGGGTCTAATAATGTTTTCTTAATCAGTTCGGAATGGTTCGGGATCGGTTTTACCCTAACCCGGATCAGACCTATCCATTAACATACCATCGTAAGTACCTGTTTGGGAAGGGTTTTCATGCTGTGCCTTTGACTTTGAGAGATGGGACCTGCCAGGAAATGAACAATGTCTTGGAGAGTCGGATTCGGATTTAATCATCCTACAGCCATACAGCCATTTAGATGGTTGCCAAACTTGCCATTTCTATTGTTGGGTGTCCGAGTCCAAGAGACTGAGACCCACCAAAGATTTACATTGTGTCCAAACAAGACCCTCGGCATACAATTCTTATCCCACTGCATTCGTGTCATGTTTGCTACTTATCTTCACAGTTAAATTATCTGTATATCCGCCATTAATGGCAAACAGAATCAGAATTCAAACTTAACAGGGGGGACAGAAGACGCAATCACGCAATTACAGAAACTACAGAACAGAAAAAGAAAGTAAACAAGAACTCAGAAAGAAAAACGAGGATGTTTAAAGCATATATCGATATTTTACGAATGATGTCGTTCAATTCGTCGCAACTCTCTCCACTCTCAACTCTTCATTCTTTCCTAACAGTACTTTTATGCGAATCCGCCTTCCATTACATGAACGATGATTAAGAGAAGGTCTCACGTCTCAGAACTCAGAAGCCAAAAATGTTTTTGCTTTCATTTCGCACGAAGATGCAATAAACTACAAATTGCTTCCAAGAAATTATCGCTTTCCATGCATCTACATCTAATACTAGCCTTGAGGCTCGAATTAATAAAACAGAATGAAAAGAAAAACAAGACAAATTTTTATCGTATATTACAGACTAACTCTCAATTTAGCAAGAGGTAGCCCCAGCTCAGGAGGGATGGGGAGAAGAGGGGGATGTCCACGAACCCGAGGCAACAACCTGGTTTCTGAAGCTCTGTGAAGGGTGTAGAGAGCGGCCATGACTCAAGCGGCCAAACTTTCGGGCTTGCAAGGTCAAGAAAAACTGGAACGACCTTGGTGGGATGTGAAGAAAACGAGAAGACGGACGACGAAAAAGAAAAGCTCAGCAGAGATACCGCCATGGTCTTTATAGCCTTCTGGGTATTACTACCAGGTTGCAGTTGCAGAACTGAAACACCACCAGAATCATGGCCGCTGCTCCCATGAGAACCACCACCACCTTAAGCACAGCAAGAAGCCAAAAGACCGTGAAAGGCCAACTAGCTCTAGCTCTGTGTGAGGGTGGCATTTCTCTTGGGATCGAGGGAAGGTGATGCATCTCTATTTATATACGAGTTTCTGTCAGCGTGAAATGAAAAGGCTGAGGGTATAATGGGCACCGTCTAAAACAAATGGGCCTGATATATCATTTTCAGCAAAGGCAGGGACAAAATGGATAATGAGGGTTTGTTTGCTAGGGATTCGAGAGAGCATAATTCTCTTATCTGGACAGTCTGAACCAGGCTCACACTTCCACGTCTCAAGTCTCAAGTGAAAAAATTTCCCAACCAATTTCTGGATTTTGGGGTAATTTTACCTTGTTGTGTGGATATATGATGCACAGAGATTTATGGTTGGTTTATTGAATTATAAGCTCTTCTTAACATCCATATGTTACCAATAATGCAGTAAGCCCACTTTGAAAGACCCAACTGAGACAAAGTGATTATGAATTTTTTTTTCCTTCATTTTTTAGATTGGAATTGGAAGTTGGTAGTTGTATCCAAGCCCAACTGTTTTGATCACCATGTATTTGTCAAATTGCCCCCACCCATTAGCTAGCAGACGAGCAACATTATTTGTAAATGGCAACCCACCATGTACCATACCACCATTTGCTTCCCAACTACTGTCTAAATTCATTAAAGGCACAGTTGATTTGGGGAAGAGATCAGTGGGCTCAAACTGGTTTTGGCCAATGGACCAAGCCAGACTAAACCAGGGAATACATGGATATTCTGGGTAGTTAGCTGGATTAGTTAATTACAACTTACAAGGGTCAGTTGCCTCACAGTTCGATCCAGCTCTAGTATTTTACCTTTACAGGTTGAACCGGACTGTAAATGTTCATTGGTTTGCAGAAAACAAAAAAATTCCTAGCCTTTAATCTTTATAATGCTCCAACCCCACTATTAATAACTATACTCTCCCCCTCCCATTCTCTGAGTTGGTAAGAATGTTAGAAGTAATAAACCTTGAATATTAACTACGAGACTACGACTGTTGAGTGTTTGATTATGGGTTTCTGAATGGTCTAACCACCCACTGTTCAGAAGTAATCTGAGAAAGAGGTAAGAAACAATTCGGGCCAATAGCTGTAGCCACAGAACATTCTCGGGAAATAGGTTTAATTTATTACAGGAGACCGAGATGCAGAGAAGAGGGAAGAGTAGTGGAACTGAGAAGAGAAAAGGCAAGAAAGCAGAGAGGTGCATTAACTTACTTAACATAATATGGTGCTTTAGACTTTGACCACAGAAACCCACATAATGAGCAATTCAGTCTTTAATATTTACCATGAATTCCAAAAACAAGGTTCTCTGATCCCCACCAATCCAGGTCCAACTCCAAGCCATAATCTGAAAGAGAAAGAACAGAAACAAAACCCTAGGACTTTAGCTACAAATGGGGTCTCTTCCACAAATTTCCACTTTATTGACTGTTCTTTTTGTCCCCCTCTCACATCCCAAATTCACACAAAACAATACAAAATACAAAAAACAAACCCTAATTCCCATGTCGTATATATGACAATAATTACCAATACAGCTCTGAAAGGTCTGCTGCACTGTGAGGTCCATCTCAGATGGTGCTCCATATTAATGGTGTATGAATTAATGCTTAATACTCAAGAGTGGGGGGATTCATACATGCTTGATACATATTGGTTGCCTGGTTGGTGCATTTCAAAGCTGCTACTGAAGACTGTTGAGTTCTCTCTATGCATTTCTCGTGAAGGGGCTGTGTCTGTGTAGAAGAAGAGTCATCATGAGACCCAAACGTCACGCCCCATCAGCAAACCTTCAGCAACCATTAAATTCTGGGTGGGTGGTCCAGGGAGTTTGGTCATTGCATTGGTGATTTGGTGCTCTTGGCCTGGGACTCAACGTTTTTATTTGGTTGCAAATAGTTCCATCTAGAATCTATGGTGTAATGTAATGATGAAAACTTGACTTACCCGAACCTTTTTCCTCCGGGTCAAGAAGGTATCCGAGCCCACGACATAGCACATATTAGTGTTCAAGTATAGCCCATTAACCCGGTAACCTGTAACCCTGCCCCAGGTTATATAATCATTATTACATTGAAGCCCCATTCTTTCTCGGGTATCTAATGGGGGATAAGTTGGTTAACTGGGTATTTAACCACAATCCCTGCGTTCTTATGCTATAGGGTCCTATGGTAAGTAATTTTTTTTCGAGAGTACCAATTACTTACATGAGTCGATTTGGTTCGGTTTGATTCTAGGGCAAAACTTGGAACCTATCTTATAGGGGCCAGTTTCAGGTTTTTGGAACTGGAACCTACCATGTGAAGGTTGGTTTCAGGGTCAGTTTTGGTCTTGGTGGTTCTAAGATCGATTCCAAGGTCCCGTGGAATTTGTTCTTTCTTTACCCCTTTCCTTTAAAAAAGAATAAACATGTTCTCTAAAAACTTGATTTTTAATAAATAAATAAATATATATATTAAAATTGGTCCTCCATGTCAGCAACCCTCTCCTTGCTTCAAACTCCCTTCCTAAAATCAACCAAGGTCGGTTCATCTGGTT